CTGTATATATATATATTTTAAGATCTTTCTAAAAACTCATGTAATAGTTATGAGATGAGCATCAGTAGTAGGTAATACGTAACTTATTTACAGCTGTCAAATATTTGTAATTCTTGCAAGTGTAAAGAAGTTGGTTTTTTTTATTCATCACAAGAAGAAAATGTATGATCCCCTTTCAAGATATGACATTCCAGTTAACAGAGTCACAGAGCTTGGATATTTCTCGCAGTCCGCGGTCATTTTGAACTAGAGACCCTCCAGGACCCACGCCACTATCTCCCAAAAACTTGACATAGGAATATCTTTCTACTATAACTTTTAATGAAATGGTATACTGGTGTCCTCACACATGTCCGTCATTTAAATGTGATAGATGTCAACGGGCATGTCCACTATTTAATTATGATACTGTTTGATTGTGATGGTTGTCATTAGACAAGGCCGGTGTTTTATTGTGATGGATGCCACCGGGAATGTCCACTTTTTAATTAAACTGTGATGAATATCATTGAGCACGTAGACTCATTATTTGAGATGGATCTCATCAGTCGTGTCCATTAATCTGATCACAAATCACCACAATACTCTCTAAAGGAGGCTTTCAACATTATTCCAACATTCTTTTTCCCTTACATGCTTTAAACTTCACCAGCAAAGCTGACCTTCAAGTGAACGTGACCAGCAGTTCTACTGAGGGGTATTTATACTTAGATGCAATGTGAAAACCTTTCAAATGTTTCATACACTTACAGTAGCTATTTTTTTTTTCCTTATAATGCTCTATTGTTTTCGCCCGATTGTTGTATCACTTTGATGTTAGTGTTTATTTTAAAAAAATACAATTTTGAAACAAAAAGCTCATTTTGTTGTGCAGGTGTGTTGAACAATTTTTGTTTATGTAATTAAGTGCAAAAGTTTGCAGTATCGCTCATGTGTTTGCTATGTAAATGGCAAACTTTACTTAAATTTGATGGAATTATATAATGTCTGTCGCATTTGTGAAATTGAAATAATGTTATCATTTTTAATGAAAGGCTTGACATGTTGTGTAAAGAGTTTATGATTACTATTTATTACTATTTACTGAACTGAAAACAAAAAAAGACATTCAGGTTAAAAAAAATTACATATAGTCCATCTTGAATTACTTTTTTTACTAGTCCATACTTTACATTTCAACCAAAAGTTTTCTATATTCCGCTTTAGTGAGGATAGCATCACTTGGATTTTATGATGACTTCTGAATCTTGGCATTCCAAATTAAAATCTTAACGTAGTGCTACTTATACATCACTCTATTCTTGGCATTCCAAAATAAAATCTTAACCTAGTGCTACTTATACATCACTGGACAAAGCGTTATTCCCAATCCCCAACCGGCCCAAGACATTCTGATTACTAATCGTAGAGCCTACAAAGGTGGTTTTCAACAGTGATGCCTCATCAATACTACAAGTGGCCCTGCAATATTTACCTCCTCTAGCAGCATGCCTCAACGATACTACAAGTGGCCCTGCAATACTTTCCTCCACCTCTAGCAGCATGCCTCAACGGTGCTACAAATGGCCCTGCAATACGTTCCTCCTCCTCTAGCGGCCTATGGCATGGTTTGAATCCCTTGATTGCACTCTTTGCACAAAAAAAAAGGGGGGGGGGGGGGGGGGTTATGCCCTTTTGTTCTTTTAGTCTTCCTGCTGGCTCTTCTTTCAATTTCAACAAGGTTGGTGTTTCTAGACCTGCTTTACTCCCCCTGTGACAACAAGGTGCCAGTTAAAATGGTTTTCTCACAGCCTCCGCAAGTTCAACAAACATCATGTTCTTGTAATGAAACCAGGGGCCAGTCTCTTGATGTCACCTATCCAATGAAGGCATGCAACCAGGGGCCACTCTCTTGATGTCACCATCCAATGAAGGCATGCAACCAGGGCCAACTCTCTTGATGTCACCTATCCAATGAAGGCATGCAACCAGGGGCCACTCTCTTGATGTCACCTATCCAATGAAGGCATGCAACCAGGGGCCACTCTCTTGATGTCACCTATCCAATGAAGGCATGCAACCAGGAACCACTCTCTTGATGTCACCTATCCAATAAAGGCATGCAACCAGGGACCACTCTCTTGATGTCACCTATCCAATGAAGGCATGCAACCAGGGACCACTCTCTTGATGTCACCTATCCAATGAAGTCATGCAACCAGGGACCACTTGATGACACCCACCCAATCAAGGCATGCAACCAGGGACCACTCTCTTGATGTCAGCTATCCAATGAAGGCATGCAACCAGGGACCACTCTCTTGATGTCACCTACCCAATGAAGGCATGCAATCAGGGACCACTCTCTCGATGTCACCTATCCAATAAAGGCATGCAAGCAGGGACCACTCTCTTGATGTCACCTATCCAATGAAGGCATGCAACCAGGGACCACTCTCTTGATGTCACCTATCCATTGGAGGCATGCAACCAGGAACCACTTTCTTGATGTCACCTATCCAATGAAGGCATGCAACCAGGGACCACTCTCTTGATGTCACATATCCAAGGAAGGCATGCAACCAGGGACCACTCTCTTGATGTCACCTATCCAATAAAGGCATGCAACCAGAGACCACTCTCTTGATGTCACCTATCCAATGAAGGCATGCAACCAGGGACCACTCTCTTGATGTCACCTATCCAATAAAGTCATGCAACCAGGGGCCACTCTCTTGATGTCACCTATCCAATAAAGGCATGCAACCAGGGGCCACTCTCTTGAAGTCACCTATCCAATAAAGGCATGCAACCAGGGACCACTCTCTTGATGTCACCATCCAATGAAGACATGCAACCAGGGACCACTCTCTTGATGTCACCTATCCAATAAAGGCATGCAACCAGGGACCACTCTCTTGATGTCACCTATCGAATAAAGGCATGCAACCAGGGACCACTCTCTTGATGTCACCTATCCAATAAAGTCATGCAACCAGGGCCCACTCTCTTGATGTCACCTATCCAATAAAGGCATGCAACCAGGGACCACTCTCTTGATGTCACCATCCAATGAAGGCATCGCTAGCTGGGGGTGAAGAACGGTATTTACATGTTCCATGACCTCAGCATTGTGCACCTTGCCCAGTAACTGAATGTTTAGCTATTTAATGCTGGCGATTAGTCCGAACTCCTTGCACGCACGAGTATATCTGAGAACATTACAATTTGTAATTTAGTCATAGTATGGAGGGAGGGGTATGGAGACAGTTGTCTACAAGTTCCAGTGTTGCTGGGCAAGTATCTTTTTTTTTCCAGCAGGGGTGGCATTGTCGGCAAACTTCAGAGTTTTCTCATGAAATGAAAGGAGGGGGCGTAAAAACCTTGGCCCACTCCCTTAGGCTCCAACTTACTCCAACCCTGACTGCGCCACTGCGCTGAGCATTTTAAAAGATTTCACCAAATAAACTATTAGCGATGTAGAGATGCATCTTTTGACACTTCTCGTGCGTGCTCATTACATTCGAGTATGCATATTCTAGTACGAAAAAATATGAGGGATAAACTACTATTTTGTTCAGGGTGCCCTCGAATTAGAATAAGGGTTGAAAACTTCTGACCTTAAGTAACAGTGCAATCCGGTGGTAGGCTCTAGATCCATCAACCTTTTTTTTTGGGGGGGGGGGGTGGCACAACATTTATACATTACAAAAATGGCTTTCAAACGGTCTGTTCAATGTTATATTCCCCCTTTGAGAGACTGGGGTCTTAAGATAGAGTCATAAGAAAGACAACCACCTGACAGAAGCTTTTTACCAAATAAGGCATACCATGTGACAGGACAGGGAGGATGAGTCTGACATTACCGCAGTGTGTTTACCAACGACACATAACAGACCAAAGTTCCCTGGCTGATCATTGCTACTTTGATACATGTAGGCCTACTTAGTTGTTTTTTTTTCTCCTTCGCCAGTAAATTTGACATGAGCATTTGCATCCGAAAGCCGTGCTAATTTTCTATACTTATATTAATGAATATAGGCTAACATTAGCCGTGTCCATTTTTTTGTTATCTTCATACCACCATATGACTACAGTTTTGTTCCCGAAAATCTTATTGCAATCTATAAACGACTTAACAACATGCTTGGGGACAAAAACCAATTTCATTTACTGGCAATCCATCCCCACCCCAAACTTTTCCTTCTTTTTTCCAACATGTATTTTTAAAAAAATTATTTAACAGTCATCGAAACATGGCTGATGATGATCACTGGATTGATTCACCCAACAATTACATTTATGTACAGTATTGTACAGGCCCAAAATTTGTATTATTTATTTTTCTTCAATTATTAAAAACATTCGTTTTTTTTTTTATATTATACCGAATTTCACCACAGCTCATTGGCCCGATGATATGTTTGTATATAGAATCGGTGTTGGCAATGTATTTGACGTAAAGGTTCCTACTTCAGTGACAAAACTGTCACGATGATCTAGGGACTAGGGGTAGAGCTTCTCAAACACTTTAATACTATAAGTTACTATAAGCCTATAATATGGAGTTTTTATTCTTGTGTCATATTACTGCGTAATCTCAATAGGAGTATAGATTTATAAAAATATTCAGTATAAAATTTTATAAAATAGGTCAATTGATAAAGTGTATTTCAAAGCACTGTCTCTCGACATTTCGCTAAATCACACTAGCAACATAAATGATTATCTAGTATTAGTTTTGAGAGCCATTGGTTTGAGGAACTCCCATTCTATTTTAAGAAAATAACCGGAAGCATAATGAATGAATGCGCATGCGCTTTAATGAAAAGATTTATCCTTAATTGTTAAGTGTTGGCGATACTTGCAAAATTATTACTAAAACTTAATTTATATACATAATAAAAGATTAAATCAGTATATTATTTATTTCAAATATATATATAAAATATTTATCAAAAATATAATTCAAAACTTACGTGACAAGGCTTTCGATTCTTTTTTTGTAGTATCGATAATACCGATAATGACTACACGATACAACATTTCTAATTATAGATATACAGGGCTGTTGCGGAGGCTATCGACAGAGGAAATATCCAGAATAAAACAAAATGGCAATGAAAAGGATTCAAAAGGTAAACTAAATCACACAATGGTTACGGTGAACATGTCTTATGAGAAATTGGACTTACAAACTTCTTTGGCGAAATCATTATTTGATCCAGCCCCCATATTATAATTGAAGGATACTATCATACTACCATAAAAAAAAACTCTCCTAAAAAGTATGTTTAGTTTCGACTCGATCTGTCCACGACCTACCGCACTTCACCTTTTATGTTCCGTTATAAACCTTCTATCGCTTGAATATGATATGAGCTAGGTCTCATGGACAATTTATGATTACTATAAAGAATATCTGGGCCTATCTAAATCTTTTGATGCAGTCTTTTATTTATAAAATTGGCTTATCTCCCCCCCCCCACTTTTTTATTTTAATATTATTAAATATATAAGCCTTAAACTCAAGGAGTCAAGAGTTTTATTAGGCCTATGGTCTAATTTAAATTATAAATAACTGGCAAGAAGTGTGTCATTGATGAGCATATCATTGAACCTACACTGGATAAAGGCTGATGTCAACCAAGTATCCCGCAGCACACTTTCAAAATTTCTATAATCGTTATCTAAATATTGAATATTGTAATTTGAAGTATAAGTCAAGTAGGTAATTTAAGTTAATTTAACCTTTACTTTAAATCTCAATGGCAATCATGTAGGTTACGGCTGATCACTGATAGTAAAACTTTCCTTGTAGATGTTATTTTATATATTATCTTGGTGCATCATTTAATAACTTAATAAAGGGAAAGGATTTTTTAAGATGTCATTTTTTGGTGGCGCTGGGGCTGTCATTGTCTTAACACTGACGTCACCTCAGAAGAAAGAAAAATTACATAATTTGAATGATCATGATAGCAATCTCAGAAATTAACACATTTGTTTTGGTACAAATTTTAATTAAACAAATAAAAAAAATTCCTATGATTATATAACCTATTCACAGCTGCAAGTAAATTACATCTCTACTCTGACTCTGACACTCTGTGCCAGAAGTATTTTTCGAATTGTTCTAATATCACATATGATATTTTTCTATAACTCTTTAATTAACATGAAACTTCACATGGGCATTGGGATAGTGATTTGAGTGTAAATTCATTCATTCAAAGGAAATAATTTGTAAGCAATGGGAGAAATTTGCACAATTTAAATTATTTTCTTGCGCTTTGAGGAATAAATATATTTGTTCTGTTGCTTACAAATGTAAATTTAAAAAAAAAAATTGAAATACATTTCCTGGAATAATACCAACCAAATATTATTCCCAGTAGATCCTTAGATTAATGAGACAGGATAGCAAAGTGAAGGTTTTTAATAGCAGCCTGGGCAATCATGCCTTGCTTCCTTTAAGACAAGATGAGGATACCTTGCACTGTCTTGGGGGGTGGATATCAGTGCAGAAGTGTCTTTCTGTGGTCCTCACTTTATAAGTAAACATTAAGATTTAAGGAGGGGTCCTTACCACATTCATGACATGCTGCTAATGTCTTGAGTTTATGAAAAATTTAAAAAGTTAAAGATCCATGTAATTATAGTTATAGTATATACATTGTATGACATGCAAAGCAATCAAAAAGAATCTCACCACAATCTCAGAACATTTTTACTGTACTGTCCCAAATGTGTAAGTAAATTGTTAAAAATTAAATTTTAAATCAATTTATTATATTTTTTCTGTAAAACGTACATCTTCCTTTTTAAATTCAGGAACTCCTGGACCTTGGAAGAGATCCTCCTTGTAATTGTTCTGCAGGACCTGTAGGAGATGACAGTAAGTGAAATATTCTCAGAAAATATTTTAATATCACTATGATGTTAAAACTCACATTTTATTATCCTTTTAACATTTGATTCAGAATGTCATTTGAATGGTTTCACCATTAATTAAATAGGGATCAAAATGTACATGCGCAAAAAGAAATACATTTTTTTTAAAACTCTTGCATTCTGTATTACATTTTTTAATACAACTGAAGCATACATTCAAAGGATAACACATGAGGGGCTGCGTTCAAGCTGTCTAAAGAAAATAAGTAATGAAACAAGATATGTTTACATACAAATTAGCATACACGTTTCCCAAGAAAATAAATTTTTAAGAATAAACTTTTTTTTAAAATTAAGCAGTAAAAAAAAATTTTTATTAAATAACTGTCAACCTTTTTCACACAAAAAGTTAATAAATAGATCTTAATTGTTAATAAATATTCTATATTTTTCTTTCATTTCAGTATTTCAGTGGCAAGCCACAATATTGGGGCCTGTGAGTATTCCGTTTGTCTGGTAGTCACTCGTACATCATTTAATATAAAGATTATTCATTTAAAAAGTTTTACATTAAAATTAAACTGAACTGGTAAGATGAGCTTATTATGCATAGACAGCCCAGTTTAATCCCATGCAAAACATGACTGCTGTCTTCCCACTTCTGTGGTTAGGGTTTTCATCCGGGGTTTACCTCTTCAATACAAATCACCTTACTGATTGTGAATGCATATTTTAAGTAGATTTTGAATTATAAAAAAAATAACTGTGTAAACATTGATTAGAAGTTTTCTAATTTTCGTGATTTTTTTAAAAAGAAATGTTATAACAGTTACATTTTTGCTAAAAATTATAATTTCTTGGTTTTAAAATTAAAATAAATATGCCTCAATATTATTCTTTTATTTATTTTCTTTGCTTCATAATTAAAATAAATAGGCTTTTTTAAGAACTTTAAGAACACATTCAAAACTTTCTTACATTTTATTAGTTTTATCTTTTTTATCTTGTAGTAAATCTGTTGTTTTTTTAATTTAATTTCAGGCTGATAGTCCTTACCAAGGTGGAGTGTTTTTCCTCACAATTACATTTCCTTCAGATTATCCCTTTAAACCACCAAAAGTAAGTTTTTTTTTCAAATCAACTTTTTGCTTTATGAAAATATTTTCCTAGTTTGAAACTACTACACAGTCTATATGAAATATACAAAGTCCTCCCTGCATTTCTCTACACAGTCTATATATCTCAGAATTAATGCATATTTTGTTTATCCTTTCATACTGCTGGTTGTTTCATGTAGAAATACACATTTTAACTGGCTTTTGTTTGTTCCAGAACACTCTGTATACTGTCACATTTAAGGGTCATATTTTTACAGATTTGACAACTGTAAGACGTAAATGTGTGAAAGAAAATACAGTGTTCTTTTTTTTGGCACAGTGTAATATTACATTATCTAATGCATGTCCACAATAATGGAGGCTGGTAAACCATCAACCTTTCTTTAGAAAAAAATATTGTAAATCTAAGTCTTTGTTCGAAATGAAATTATTTTTAAAAACTAAGTTGAATTCGCTTTATCAATTCTGTTTCTGGGTCATAATAATTTTTGGCTCAGAAACAGACACTGATAACATGTTAATGATTTACTTAAAACTACTAGCTGTATCAAAGAAAAGTCACCTCAAATATCAATATTTCCCAATTTAGTCATTTAATTCCTGTCATCGAATAAAGGATTAAAAAAGGAGTGGGGAAGGGAGTTGGATAGGGTAACAGTATGAAAAATAAATAGCTGAAATTATACTATTGCTATAAAACAAAATACACAACTGATATGCTGTAATCAAAACGCCTAAAACCTCTTTCTGAAACCTACTGTTGTTTGAATGTAATATTAAAAATTAGGTAGTGAAGGTTTAGAGTAATTATATCTTAAATTTTTAATGATAATCTTTTGGTGCATTTAGATGAACTAATGAACTTGAGTTCTGAAATAAGTATTGGAATGTGCTTATCAAAGTCAATAATCATGAAGATCACAGGGTTACAAAATTGTTGCATTGTAGTACAAAAATTAAAATAAAATAATTCATTATTTTTTTCAACAAAAAAAATGGAACATCTTTTAACTGTTTGAAATATATAATTTTATATATATTATATTTCAAACAGTTAAAAGATGTTCCATTTTTATATATATATTATATATATATATGCATCTTGTCAACATTTTATTTTTGTTAATTAAATTTATTATTCAAATTATTCAAATACAGAATTCCTATTTTACAGGTCGCTTTCTCTACAAAAATCTATCACCCAAATATAAACAGTAATGGCAGCATTTGTTTAGATATTCTAAGAAGCCAATGGTCACCTGCCCTAACCATATCAAAAGGTAAGCAATTTTATCAGTTTACTACTTCAAAAAAAAAATGATATAACAGTGCTCATAGAAAGATTCCAAAAGTATAATTAATCGTCATTAACATTTTATGCTGTGCCCCTGAAATTTCAGTCATCTTACATTTGTTGTTGTTTTAGATGAATAAACCTTATTGCTGCAGTTTTGAGGGATTGTTATGCATGGAGAAAATTATTACGTCTGTAGTTTTTAAAGTGTAAAAATATATTTACATATATTATATATACCAACTATTCTGCTTAATTTTTGCAGTGCTGCTGTCCATCTGTTCATTACTGACAGACCCCAACCCAGATGACCCATTGGTTCCAGAAATTGCCAGAATGTTCAAGACCAACCGTACAGAATACAACAGATTAGCCAAAGAATGGACAGCCAAGTATGCAGAGTGATGTATAGCAGCAGCATTGTTCTATAACATGCTGCTGCAGGGAAGACACTTTTTTATGTCACGTTGATACAAATAATTTAAGTTTCTAATCATTGAGGGGAGTGGGTGGGGGGCTGCCAATATTAGTTTTGAACTATACATTAGATTTATCCATTGCAATGGAAAGTGAATGATCAGAGGATTAACTCTTATGATTTAAATTTTAAGTGATGTCATGTGTAAAGAAAGTTTTTAACTGTACTGCTTATTTTTATGAAGAGTTAAAAAAATATTGTGATTTAAAAAAAATAAATATATTATTAAACCACATGTTCTCAGCACCATAAGACCATGCTTAGATGCACACACAGTGCAGAAAATCTGATTTAGCCATGAGAAAATATTACAACTTATTTACTTTACTTACTTAGTAATCCAGTAAAACAAGCCATTTCTTTTGGCCATGGGATTGTCTGCACTCTTGTTTTAACAATTAATTAGTAAAACAAACACCCTTTCTTATGGTATGGGAGTTTATCAACAGTTGAAATTGTTTTATATAAAGTGTTATTTTCTCATGCAACGCAGGCCTTAGGTAAACTTTCGCCCTGTGCAAAGCACTCTTTCGGCGCCCCCTTCCCTGTCTCTGTATGGCTCTGTTCTTTTTTGCACCCTGGAAAGCTTTTTGTTCCCCATATTCTTTCTGCTGAAATAATTGTAAGAGGGGCATGGAAATACGGTATTAATAAATTAATTTCCACGCCTTTTCGGTTGGTTCCAACCCCAGTGTTAGGATCTAAAACTTATATAAAAAGCGATTGTATGAAAAGTTTCTCAACCCCGGACCCGAGGTTCACACTTCACTATAATAAACTAAGGGAAGTTACATATTTACCTGGGGCGCCTTGTGCCAGGGCACAGGTCACACACCCAAAAGGCCGGCATTGACTCTGCTTGTAAATATTTAGGTATTAGTATTATTAAAAAAAAAAAATTTTAATTTAGTAGTCTGTTTTCTAAATTATTTAATGCCAATTAAATTTTGGAGAATAAGTTAATAACATCTTAAATGGATTTTTTTATAAAGTAGTTTGTACAAAAGAAAAATTAGTGGTGAAAATGTCAGACAAGTTTTCTCTTCTCTGTTAGTTATTTTTTTAAGGGGAGTAAGTTGTAAGTTAAGAATTGACTGTCACCTAAACCAAAATGTAAAAAAATTGGATGATGTTTTAAAATAATCCCTCCATGACTCATGACAGGCAACAGAAAATTGTATTTCAGTGTTAGGCTTATCTTATTCCCCCATTAAATATTTCATTTCTTCATTATTTTTTTTTTCCCTGGTTGATTTCCTTATCTGCAGGTGTGTGTGGATCGTTTCTATGGTCATGTTGAAACACATTTTTTTTTTAATAAGCAGAAAAGAAGTTGTAAAAGAAACCCATTTATCTTCAGTTAATTTGAGATTGTCAGCCTGAATAATAATACATTGAATCATTCAGTCAGACTTTCTCTTCAATTTTTAATTTAGGTTACTTTATTTCTGGTCCTTACTTTCTGGTTTCTTAAGATGTTTCTGTTTCTAGTGTGGCTGAAAACTTTGTTGTTAAATGTGACGCCCATATTACATTGACAGGCTGTATACAATTGAAGATCAGTTATTCTGAGATTTGAAAGATAATTTAATACTGTCGACAGTGAAAATGTTGGTTTTGTAATATTTTTTTTTAAAATGTATCCGTTGGCAAGTTGTACTCAAAGTAAACTTTGCAGCAAACATAAAACTTATCAGTACACTAGTGAGTGATAACGTTTTGCTTTGGTTTCCAGAATTAATGGTGGCTACATTATTTCCTATCTTGCAATCTGTACTAATGCATGTATGTGCAGATAAAAATTGAGATGGATACAATATTATTTGCAATATTTTCTCTTAATATGAATACAGAACACACAAAAATGGAAGCCAGGTTCATCAATTGTGGGTATATTTGGAGAGAACAAACTAATGTGACTTTTTGAATATTTGTTCCTCATTTTTGTAACACACCATAGTCCACTTCATTAGTCCAAATTAAAAAAGTAATGCTAAATACCGTACCTTTGTAAAAAAAAAAAAAAAATTTTTAAACCACAGTGGAAATAATATTCATTTTATCCCTAATAACAATCAGCTGTTTGATTTTACCTTTTTAAGTATGTATCTTAACTGCCATAAACAAATTTCTCTCCAACTTTCGGGTTGTTAGTCCCTCTATTGTTATTTAAAGTAAATGCTTTTTTCCAATGATCATTTTATTTGTGATATCATTTTAAACTTCCTTTTGTTGTTTAGTAATTTTAGCAAATCAATTAAAACTAAATCGATGCATAGATTTTTACAAAATAATCTGTTTCTGTGTTTGTAGTTGGTTTATACCGTTCATCTAACCTGTCGCCTCTCTTCTCTTACCGGGGGACATTTACTGCATGTAGTTTTTTTCACCATCAGTTGTTTCATTTTTCTTGATCATCACAGCAATTACTGGTCTCATGCTTGTGTCATGCAAGCCAGTGTCTAACTGATGACGACTGAATCCAAACTTTCAAGTTATTACGACTTGTAACTATCTCATATTTTTTTTTTCTTTTTAAAATATTTTTAAGGAAATAAAATTCCTTAGTACTGGTAGCTTAAAGCTAGTCTAGCTTGACCAGTGGTCTCCAAACTTTCTGGTTGCCCTATTTTGCTTTATTTTAAAAGATAGGCGCCCACTCCATAAAAAAAAATTGATATAAATATTTTGTTTTATCTTACGCGCCCCACAGATTAACTAATGCACCCTGGGGGTGACCACATTGATTATTGGAGACCACTGGTTTAGATCATTCAGCAACAGAAGATTGCCTCGAAGGCGTAACAACATTTTTAAAGTAAAAATAACATCTCAGGGGAACGTAATTTTAAAAAAAAATTAGATATGAAAATGCCCAATGGAAAATTTTCTTATGGAACAAATGTGACATTGGTTTACACCAAATTTTTTGTTAGAGTGATATATATTTTGTCTCTTCTCCGGTTGCTTTTATTATATAAAGTTTTTCAAGTGCTAAGTCATTCTAATTTAAAATTTTATTGAATGTTTTTATAAAAGCACAGTCTACATACATTGTGCTTTGATGTACACTGAAACACGTACATGTTTTTCTTTGTACAAAAAAAAATATAAGATAAGGGTTCACTTTTTAATCTGGAGCAGGGGTGGGGGGGGGGGGGTGCTACTGCTATGCACATCTAGGCATTGGTCTTATGTATAAATCTCAAAGTCCTCTTAAATGGTATGCAGTCATTTTTTGGTAAATTTTTAATTTTTTGAACCAATTGGTGGGGGGGGGGGGGGGGGGGGGGGGGGGGGTGCTACTGCTATGCACATCTAGGCATTGGTCTTATGTATAAATCTCAAAGTCCTCTTAAATGGTATGCAGTCATTTGTTTGTAAATTTGTCATTTTTTGAACCAATTGGGACATCCAGATACTGGTACATGAGGAAATGGGTGGGACTTTAGAAAACTTGAAGTGGCACATTATGGTTTTCTTTCCTTGATACACTGGATTCACCAAAAATACATGTATCTATTCTTGCAAGTTGGTGACATAGAGCGTTCTCTAGCTAGAAATATTTACTATTTACTCTTGAAAATTTGGTGATATGGAGTATTCCCTAGCTATAAATATATACTAATTACTCTATCTTATCTTGGTCAGCAGTTGCTGTAAACATTTGGCATTAAGGACCACCTACCTTCTGTATAGATAGGTACATGTATTTTTTTAAGATTATATTTTAATACAAAGCAAGACAGTGTCACTTGTGTACCACTATAACTGACATTGCTTGTATTTTTACAACAGCACTCTTTTTTTTTCTTTTTAATTTAAAAAAAAAATTGTTTAAGACTCATCCTGCTTGTCTTTTGTAAATAGTACATAATTGATTTTATGTTGTCATGGGAGACAGGAAGCTAGATACAGATGATCATGTTTTCTATGAGGAAATTATCACTTGTGGGTGGGTCAGAGCAAAGAATTCAATTAAATTCAATTCTAGATTAGTAGTGTGTGGGGGGGAGGGTTGAAAATTAAGGTCTAGCTGGTTTTAAAATTTGTATTTATTCCAACTGATTAAATTATCCAACCAAATTTGACTCAACCATTGTAATTTTTTTCATGCTGATGTGTGTAAGTCTTCATGATTCTGTAAAAGTCAATAAAAATGTACATAACAGTTAATGATCTTGTATTTATTATCCTTTCAGCTTCATCACAATTACAGCCAAATAGTTGGCCTGGTTGTCCGTTTTTAAAAATCCAATGTTTCCCCATTGTCGTATTAATTGTGTCTACAGAAAAGATTCCAGCCATCGATTCAATCATTTGAAGGGTCGGTATGAATGAGCAGCCTTCTGGTATGCTAAAGAGAAAACACTTCCGTGAGTGTATGTTAGTTACTGGAATGGCTTAGCTTCTTAATACTCATTAAGAATTACAGAGTTCGTGTTAACTGGTTGATTAAACAACCTTTAAAACTAAGTGTTTTTTTTTTAATAAATCCTTTATGGAATTTAATATCGAGCAATTGGGAGGTGGGGCTGAAAATTTGACAAAACATGGCAAAAAGTTACAATTAACGCACTTTATAAGAATCCCAATAAGTGCGCCCTCCCCCCAGCTGGAATTATATTCATATTCTAATGACCCACCCGCTTTTAACCGCAGATTTATTTCACCATTTCAGAAAAACAAAAGAAAATATTGCAATATTTTTTAAATAGTCACATTTAGCGCAGTTATCAGGAATTTTATTTTGTTAAATCTGTGTCTTCACATTTCCTTCATCTTCCCCTTGAAAAACAGGTAAAACTGATTTTTAGGGGTTGGGCTGAAAGTTTGATGGCAACGAGACTGTGCCAGGTTTCAGCTCGATGGGTTGATGGGAAGTGGGTCAATTAGTCATCTGAAGATTTTGCCAGCCACAAACAAAAGCGAAGTTAATATACAGGATTTAGAAAAATATCACCCAAAGGCAACCCATATGTAGACTATCCAACTGCTTCACTAAATTAATATCTATAATGGATGGCATTTTCATCTTCTTTAATCATGTTTTCATGATTAAATCTATATCCATACATACTGCACCTATTTTAACTTAAATTTTAATGCTTCTCAGTCACCAAATTGCATAGTTTTTTTTAAAAAGCACTTAACTTGAGTGTAGATTTAATAAAGTTGCAGGCTTAGAGTGCACCCCAAAGTATTTTACAGTGCTGCAGAGGTAATATCCAATAGTTGGCGCATTTGTTTTAACTATTAATAAGTTTCGATGACTTTGTTTTTCCAAACTAAAAATTTACCTTGGTTAGTTGAAAATACATCAACCGGCAGTTGCTTAGCTATGTCCGGGCTGTGAAGAGCCTGTGGTAAATGCTCAAGGTGTCTATGAAAACCCGTTATAAAAATGTACATTTTTCTGAAAAAGATCCGTGGTGCGAGTGAAGCACTATGAGGAAAAAGGGGGGGGGGTATGCGTAGTAAGTTAAAAGCAAGCGCTAAGCATACCCCTCTGTGGTATCTTTATTATGCACACACCTCTGTGGTATAATAATAATAAAGTTCATTTCAAAAACACGCTTCATCCCAAAAGTTAAAAGGCTCGAAGCGCGGTACAAAGTCAACAAAAAACAAATCTATAATTTACCACATTTAAAACAAACGCAACACTACAAAAACTAATTACAAGTATACAATGTCAAAGTCTTTCTACCCATTTCAACCCTAAACAACACAGCCAATATGCATTAAATGGAAGATATGGTAGAGAATCATCCGAGAAGGTGTTTGCGAAATAGATGTGTCTTTAAATCGGGTTTAAAGGACTCCAGTGTCTGGTTGTTTCTGAGATCGACTGGAAGGGCGTTCCAAATTGTTGGACCAGCAAATGCGAAAGTGCGCTTTCCGTAAGTCTCAAGGCAAACACGTGGTGTTGAGAGTTTGCCACTATCGGATGAGCGGAGTTGTCTAGTGGGTACATAAGGCGTCAGCAGCTCTTTCAGATAGGTATCTTTATTATGCACACACCTCTGAGTTGTGTGATCTTCGACTGAAACCTTTCGCTCAAACTAAAAAAAAAAAAAAAAAAACTGCTTCTACATATCTCTGTAGCAATGGATTTTCAATGCTTCTTCGTGTCAAAATCAAAAGGAGAAACAGGTTAACTTTCGACTTTGACACGAGGGTGCATTAAATAAAGAAAAATCAACAGCGCACTTTGAAAGTTGTTTAGAATTTTAGTCATCTGATTGAATAAATATGTAACTAAATTTATAAAGAATTATATTAATATATATTTTTTTAAAAATCTGTTTTCGATTATTTACTTCAACTTTAATCCTATTTAAAAGCAATTAAAAAAAATAGTAATTGGAAGTAGCGGGTCGCTTGTCTCCAATAAAATTTGGTCACGGCACCAGGAATAGGAAGGGTGGGGTGTCCCCGAGAGGCACTTGTTTCCTATGTATTGAGGGGTGGTATTTTCGGCACAAATATTGGAACTAATCCTTGATAAATAGATATGCCGCTGATGGTCGCGGGTCACTTTGTTTCTATAGAAAGAGGTCGCGACTCAAACAATTTTGGGAATCTGTGCAATAGACATTAGACTGCACTACTACAGCAAGTCAGCATTATTATCTATGAAATGTTTTTACTTACGACAAGCTCACCAACGCTTTGCAAAATACATATTTTTAGGATCAGCTTAGTGGTGATCAAAGTCGATATGGGGTGGTGTGAAAAAAAGCAGTGGGATAACAAAAGCTACATCCGAGGCAAAGCATGAATTTAGATGCCCTGTTCCCAAAAAAGTTTACATTGAATGAAAAATAGCGATTTTGACGCCCTCGGAAGACGGCGCCCGAGACGGGTGCCCCATTGGCATGGCCCACAGTGACGGTACAGCTAACTACGTTTGATTTAGCGTAATGTACCTAAAATGGGAAGTCTTACACTGGTCACTGTTGCTCTGATGTTCCTGAGAATGAAAGCCATTGTTATTTTAACGGAATATTTTATTAATATTAAATGATAAATATTATTTTAACTGGAGCAGTCAATTTTAACATTTTTCATTCCTTTTTCATAAAAATGTGTTTTTGTTTAAAATTAAAAAAAGAAAAAAGTTGCTCTTAGAATATTAACAATAAACGGTTACTTTGCCGTAAAAGCTTAATATGTTTATGTTGATATGGTAGTCTGGTTTTATCTCTACTTGCACGCTTTTTAAACGTATTTTTTTTCCTTTATACATTAACAATTTTTCGGTATTTACACGAGCCCTTTTATGAGTAAAGCTCAAATAAATAAAACAGAAGGCCAAGAGAAGCTTCTTTCTTTTTGACAATGGCGCAGAAAAGAATAAAAAAGGTAGTAAATATATATTCCATTAATAATTTAAAGAAGTTAAATTGAATATTTTTGTTATTTAATTTCATAAGAAGAGTAAGAAGTGCTAAATATTTCACATCTTAAAATGGATTAGGCTTTATGACAGATGATGGTTTGTACTTGTCATGGAGTATGGTCAGTATGGAGTGAACGGGAAATTTCTCAAATGATGACAAATGACATTAAAAATAATCAAAAATACTATACACAAACTAAAGTACAACTAGCAATAAACAACAAAAGTTAAGAATGTAACTATTAACTAACAAAAAAAATTTAACTAAGAATATACCAAGCAACTTAAGTTATTAAAAAAATAATAAGACTAATTGACTAATAAAATAAAACAATAAAGATTATATAGAAAAAGAAGAGTGCAGAGCCTAGGCCTAGGACCAAAAGCCTATTTATAAAAATAATAACTTTGGGCCTAGAGCTAATTGCACACTTACACTGACTTGCTTAAATTAAGGCTTAATAATAATATATTAAATTGTGGCAAATCAATCGGGCTGGTTTTTAGTTAGCGGTAAGGCCATGGCGCCCATGGGCGCCCGCAGAAAACTTTCTGGGGGGGGGCAAAAAAATCGATTAACTTTCCAGGGGGGGGGGCAAAAATTTTTTAGTTATGTTTTACTGTAGTTTTAATTTACTGTAGTCTGTAGCGTATTTGTATGGTGAACGAACGGACATCAGCTTAGATACTTTCTCTTTATTTTCTCTTTACTTTAATACATTTTTTGTCTATTTTTGTCTAAAAATGTTTATCCAATCAATCGGGGGGGGGTGGGGGGGCAAGTGCCCCAACCCTGCGGGCGCCCATGGATAAGGCCGACGATAATATAGGTCACCGAGGTTCCCCCAGGTCCATTTCTGTCTACAGTGCCATACTAAAAAGATTTGGATGTTTGTATATATATGATGCAAGTTGTTTTCTTAATTAAAATTTTTTTTTAAATTGGGGAGGGTTCTATGTTTCTTATTTTGGAATTTAAAGCAAAGTTCCTAGAAGATCATTCCAAATGCAATTTTAGCAGTAGTCTTCCTTTTGTTACCTAAGTTTCAACTAATCGAAATACACCAATTTTGGCGGGTGTCTTTTTTTTTTCACTGGTGTTGGGTCTTGGGGTATCAGCAATGATGTGTTTCTTTTTTCTTTTCTTTTGAAACGTGTAAGTTGAATTTTAATACAAATTAATTAAAAAATTTCATTTCAATAAACTTCACATTTACCGTATCGTTTATGACGCGAGTAATGCTCAATAAAGAACTGGAATCACACATCGTTCAGGTCCTTCAAAGAATAGAGCTATTCACCCTTAGTCATCCAGTGTTGGGATTCCCCAATGTGAGTCACTGCGCTTAGGGTGAGAAAACTCTTGGCAAAACCACACCGTTAACTCAAAATTTACCGCCAAATGTTGTGGCTGTGGACCATCTGGATAATATTAAATTTAAAAAAGTAACTCTCCTCTCAAACTCCATAAGACTCCATGTTTACAAAATAAACTAAATATGCCCTCCACTAACATGATGCAATGCACTGAGTATATGCTTTCCTATTCCTAGTGACAGTATAATCTGTAATTACCATAGCTATTTGAGTGTATTTGAGCTAATTGACAATTATGTTCTTGTTCAACATGAATGAATTGAATGATGGTGATGGGTTTAAAGTTTAAGTTAACTTGACATGGATCAATGTTTTTAAAGAAGCATTTATTTCCATTCTTGGCACCTGCTATTTATTATGGTTTGGCCTTATTTTAAGAAAGAGATCTAAAATC